GCCTCAGCCCAGAGAGTTCGAGCACCCCCCCCCCGCCCCCGCCCCCAGCGTAGCACCGTGCCCTACACATGGAGAGGTCCACGAGTTCCACGCATCGGAGATGTCGTCTCAATCGGTGAGCTCAGGGCCCCCCGCTCAGTTTCGAGTCAGCGCCGAGATTCGCGTGCGTGCCAGAGAAAATGTCGGGCTCAGCCCGAAAGATTTTTGTTTACCTGCCGACTATGTTGGCAAGTCCGTAGCGCGTTGGCCCGGGCCTCAAGTTTCGGCGTCTCCACGCACCAGTTCTTCGTTGTAACTGGGCCCGCACGGTGGAAGAGGCAGTCCGCGCCCGCCCCCGGCAGGCCGCTCCGACCTGAGCGCGAGGGCACGCCGCGAAATTCTGTCTCGGCACAGCGCGGCAGCCAACCTCACAGAGGTTGGGGCCCCTCCGCGATAAGGTCAGCGGCTGGTGGACGAGAGTGGCCACTGTTATTACTTCTGCGTCGTCGGCGCGACAGCGGCGGCAAGCAGCGGCAACTCCTCGTTCGGGCGATCGACGGGCTACGAGCCATAATTTCCGAGGAGGCGCGTCGGGCCCTTCGGAGGAAAGACTCTCGCACCTGGTCGCAGTGGAAGTCGTTCCAAAGCGTGGGCGCGCCATGGTCTTTCTCGGAGGCCGATTTGGCCGATGGCTCCGATTGGGCAGACGGACAGGCCCAGCGGAGTCAACAAATAATTATTTATCGATCTATTTCTGCTGTCAGAGACTTGGCTGAAACTGCACCAGCAGGGGGCGCCCTGCACGAGGCAGTTCTGACTGCGCCCATCGCCTCCGATCCGGCCGAAGTTGGCAACGGCGCTCATCCATCCGTGAGACGTGTTCGATTCTAAAAAACAAGTAGTGGCAGGAGTTGCGGGTGCTGGCGGGGCAGGGCCACGAGCAGTTGTTAGACTCGTTCGGAGATACCTGACGCCGTGCCGAAGACGGGGCACTGCCGCCCCTCGAGGTCGCCGGCCTTCGTGCAGCGCGTCGCAGGATGATGCCCTCGTCGGCGCTGGGTGTAGATAGGCTTTGGTCTTTGGGTGTGGGTCGTATGCCAGACGTCGCTCTGGCCGAACTAGCGGCGCTGCTCGCTGCATGCGGACATCATCAAGTCTGGCCACGTCAGGATCTCTATAGGCACATGATTTCCGAAAAAGAGCAGCAGGGATCGAGTCATTGGATTACTATCTCATGTCGGGAGGATGCGGTCACATGCCCGCGAGGGCTACGTCGAGACGTGGACGGACCAGCGAGGGTCGCACTGGGGCGCCGCCGCGCGCGACACTTCGGCCGCGCGAGAGGCCTTTCTTCGAGCAGTCGATGAAGAATTTGGCAGGGCAGCTGAGGGCTGCACGCGGGCATGGCTTGTGTGACGTTGCGCAGGTTTACGACAGCGTGGGGTGGCATCACATTGGAGCTGCAGCCTTGCGTCTGGAGCTTCCGTCCGAGATTCTCGGCCTTGAACTTCAGCAGTGCACGGCAGTTCGCTACATTCGTCAGTCACGAGCGTACGGGCCACCCTTTTGCCCCGCGCGCTCCATCGTGCAGGGGCTTCGCGGAGGCACTCGGTTTGGCAAGTGCGCCACGCGCTTCATCATGTCCAGGATCACCACAGCACACGTGAGCATGTCTCATCGGCAACCAGTGGATGACTTGTCCCAAATTACACGTGGCTCGAGGCAGGACGTGCGCAGGCATATGATCAGGCGCTTGACCGACGCCTGCCAGGGCATGGAGGCCTCGGGTGTGAAGATCTCCAACGAGCGTGGTGATATGCAGTCACATCGAGGACGCCCGCATCTTCGCGCGGACTCTTGCAGCACGTGGGTACAAGTTGAAGTACGCTAGTCAGGCTCCATATCTCGGCGCCGATCTGAGTGGCGGGCGTCGGCCAGGAAGAGCTACGAGGAGATCAAGGTCCATCAAGCACGACGGCAGGTCGGTCAAGATCACCAGGTATGTTCGCACTCTTCGGCGGCATCGGGTAACCCGAAGGCTCGAGCAGCAGGGTGCAGCCCCAGCGGGGCTCCACGCACACCAGTTGCACGGCGTGTTCGGCGGCCAGACGGCGTCGGTGCGACGGCAACTAGCCAGCGCATCGGCCATGAGGTTGACGGGCAGGTGCGCCGCCACCTTGCTGGACCTCAGGGCGCCGCGACGGGGCCCCGCCAATCGGCTCCCGCTGGGCGCGCTCAGGATGTGGCTGGCGACGGGAGTCTCGGAGCCTCATCTACGTGCTGGAGTCGGTCGTACTTGGCACCAAAAGTTCGCGGCCCTTCCAGCAGCCTGGCGGTGCCGAAGGACTCGCGGGCCCCAGGCCGCAGTCGTCGCCTACCTGCTGAACGCTGGGTGGCATCCGACGGCGCCGAACTCTTGGCCCACGCTCGACGACGCGCGCAGTTGTGATTTCAAAGAGAGCAGCTTGACTGGATGCGCGGCCATCCATCACCCTGAAAGTTCCTTCCAAAAGTTTCAATACACAGTGCAAACTGACCTTTGGAAGCAAGCGGCCATTCATTTCGGCGGAGGTGGAATTGAGAACGGCGCGCGTAATCATTTTTATCGGCAGGTCCTGCGCCCGCTGGAAGAAGGCCCTGGCGGGCCTCGCTTGGCAGGGCCCATGCCGGCCGCGGCGACGGGGACCGTTTGGCGCAGGACCAGGAGGCAGACGCGCCGCAAGCAACAGATCGCCCAGGACCGCCCGCGTTGTCGGACAGCACCCGGGACCGCATTCCACAGGATCTGGGGCTGCGAGTTCAAGTTCGACACTTTGGCGCACGGGCTGAGCGAGCAGTGCGTCGCCAAGGTGCATGCCCAGGCCGAGGCCGAAGAATGTTTCCGGACGCGGGGGCTGTCGCCGTCGGCTTGGCCCGCGGTCGAAGAGCCCCCGGACCGCGAGCTGCGGCGCAGTCAGAAGGTGCAGAGCTCGCTGGATTCGGCGAGGGGGCCGCGGCGAACCCCCTCTCCCCGCTTGGCGGCGCCGGCGGGGGCAAGGAAAGGCACCGCCCTCGCCTCCGACGCGTCGGCCTCGGCATCGCTCTTGTCCGCGCGCTCGACGATGACATGGGCAGTTCCGTCTGCGCTTGGTCGGCCCTCCCAGGGCCTCGGCAGACTGTTGCGCGGGGGGAAGTGCATAGCTCACGAATGTGTATTCGTGAGAGTGGGGGCCGCATTATATACATATATATATATGTTTATGTATATATATATATATACGCCACCGATGATCATAGTGTTTGCTGAGTTGACATGAGTCTCTGCGGGTCGCCCCATCAGGGCCTGAAGCCGACCTGCGGTTTCGTAGAACTAGAGAAATTGCGCGCAAACCCGATCTGCATTGCACAGTCTTGTTCATTAATATGGGGAACTGAACGCCTGATAAGACCCTGCCCTTGGGCTGACGATCGCAGGCAACACTGTCGCCGATGAGTTTGCAGCTGCGGGGGCCCAGGTCGCACGTTTGTCCGAGAGCACGCGCACGCGTTCGTACAGTGCTGAATATTTTGCCTTTGCCGCGCACGTGCGCGTGCTTCAGAGCACGCTCGGAGCCACTCAAGCAGAAGAGGTGCTGCAGCAAACTGCGAATTCTGGGGCTCGGCGCGTGCAGCGTCGGTCTTCTAACTTACTCATTCGACCTCCTGCAGCCCGTGTTTGTGCAATGTTCGCCTCGTCGCATCACCTCGGCGAGATTGCCCTAATTGTGCGCGCTGTAAGGGGTCGACCGCACTCCCATGCAAGAAAGAGTGGCTGAGCTCACCGTGTTTTGCTTTAGTTAGTGTGGACGGAATCATTAGTGAACTTTGTTTCTGGGCAGAGAGTGCACAGAATGCGGGGGGGCGCTCGTGGGTCACACACTCTTCGGTATCACACGGGGCGGAGGTTGTGGTTTTGCAACACTTGCGAGAGTTTTGCAGATTAGCAGCTCGCACAGCTCGGTAAGGAATGCAGCGCACACCTCGACGGTAATCGAATTGATTATCGTAAGCGTATTCTCCAAGGGCTGTAGCCGCAGCTGGCATTATTTGGTCTTACAGCGGTGCCCCTACCATTTTCACAGCCAGTCAGTAACCGACGCAGTCGCAAGATCCGTAACTCCGTAACTTCCTCCCTCCCTCCCTGCCTCCCCCCCTCCCTCTTGCCCCTCCCTCCCGTCCCTCCCCTCCCCTTCCCTTCCTTCCTCCCCCTTCCCTTCCTTCGCCTCCCTCCCCTCGTCCCCCTCGCCTCCCTCCCTCTTTTTTTTCCCTCCCTCCCTCCCCTCCCTCCCTAGGCTCAGCAGATGATGGGCCTGATGAAGGCCCGCGGGTGCTGCCACGCAGGGGCGTCAACATCAACACTCGTGGGCGGGTCGCCTCCGCCCCTGCCGCGAGGATCGCGGAGGGAGGAGGAGGGGCATCGAGGGCCGAAGAGGCTTCGAGGGCGCCTTTGCGCATTTGGTGAGGGGATGGGGGGGTGTTCGTACGGGAAGGGCATCGAGGGTCAAGGAGGTTTCGAGGGCGCCTTTGCGCATTTTGGGGTGTGTGTGTTCACGGGCGTCGAGGGTCGCGGAGGCTTCGAGGGCGCCCTGGCTGGAAAAAAAAAGAAAAGGCCATGAACATGAACTTTTGGCGTTCCCTGCGGATATTTGGGATCTGGCGTATTCGGGGGAAGGGGGGGGGTCATACGGGAACGCGCAAGGAAATAAACATAGAAACCCAGAGGCCCGCGCGGATTTCTCAGAGGTCGGCCCTGGTGACCCCTCGCAGCGCCTCCGGCGCCGCCCCTTGCGCGTTCCGCGCGCCAGGGAGGGGGTCCAGCGCGGATCCAAGAAATCCGTGCGGAGCGCCAAAAGTTAATGTTCATGGCGTTTGTTGTTCCTCTTGCGCGTTTGCGGGGGAAGGGGGGGAGGGTTCAGAGGGGCATCCTCCCCCCTTTCCTCCCGAGGGGGAGGTGGCGCCTCCCCCCCTGCGGTGGCCCCTTGGCGCTGCCCGGGAAGGGGAAGCTGGTGATCGTGCCCATCGAGCACGACGTCGGACCCGCGTCTCGATACCTCGGGTGTGCAAAGATGGTGATCAGAAGGGAAGAGATCGGCACGACCACACATATATATATATATATATACATGTATGTATATATAAACACATATGCACATACATATATATATATATATATATATATATATATATATGTACGATGGTTGTTCATTTCCACACGGGAAGATATCGGAAATGGAAGATAAGAGGGACATCCAGGAAACATGGGAAAACATAGACTCCCCCGGGAGCGTGTGTGGGTTTATGTGTGTCCACCTGGCCTCCCTCAGGTGACCAATCCAGAGGACCTGATCGTGGCATTCGACGACGACATCGCCTACGAGAACACCACCATCTCCAGCCTGGCGTGCGCGAAGCGCCACGACCCCGAGTTTTCGTGGACGGGCCACCGCTTCACGGGGCTGCGTGGCTTCCAGACGGGCCATCCGGGGGGCAGCGCACCCAAACCAGCACCCAATGCGGCGGCGAGCCCGGGGGGCAAGGGAGAGGGGGCACTCGTTCTAGGGTGCGCGGCCTCCCCAGACATGCGACGTCTGGATTTTTGTCCGAACAGGGTCCCTGGAAGTCCCAACCCTTTCCCCGGGACTGGTTTTTCGTCCTGAGTCGTGTTTTCACGCTCCCGGGGCCCCAGAATCTCCCCCAGAGGCCGAAAACGGGCCAGAACCTCAAACCCGCCCGCCTTCATTTTTTGTTACGACGCGATCATGTCTAGGTCTGAGAAGGCCCCGCTCGTCTGCTCAGAAGTCTTCCCCTGAGCCCCGTCCGAGGACAGAGGTGCGGCTTGCCAGAAGGCGCGAGGGGGGTCCCGAGAAGCCCCGCCGCCTCGTGAGACGGCCCGCGCCGTCTCGCCTCCCCCCACGGACTTCGCCGCCACCCGCTGCAGTGGGGGCCCATGCCAAAAAGCACCCTGCTTGCATCCACTCCTCCTCCTCCTCCTCCTCCTCCTCCTCCTCCTCCTCCTCCTCCTCCTCCTCCTCCCTCCTCCCTCCTCCTCCTCCTCCTCCTCCCTCCTCCCTCCTCCTCCTCCTCCTCCTCCCCTCCTCCTCCTCCTCCTCCTCCTCCCCCTCCTCCTCCTCCTCCTCCTCCTCCTCCTCCTCCTCCTCCTCCTCCTCTCCTCCTCCTCCTCCTCCTCCTTCTCCTCCTCCTCCTCCTCCTCCTCCTCCTCCTCCTCCTCCTCCTCCTCCTCCTCCTCCTCCTCCCCGTCCTCCCCCTCCTCCCCCGCCTCCCCCGCCTTCCCCTCTCCCCCTCCCCCTCCCCCCCCCCTCCTCCTTCTCCTCCTCCTCCTCCTCCTCCTCCCCCCTCCTCCTTCTCCTCCTCCTTCCCTTTTCCTCATCCTCCTCCTCCTCCTCCCCCTCCTCCTCCTCCTCCTCTTCCTCCTCCTCCTCCTCCCCGCCCTCCTCCTCCTCCTCCTCCTCCTCCTCCTCCTCCTCCTCCCACTTGCTTACTGTGGAAGCCCATGCCAAGAAGCACCCTGCTCGCCTCCAGGGTGCCCTGGGTTTCTTGGGTTTCAAGGATTTCGCTGTGGAGTACGAGACGTTCCCACACCAACAGTCCATGGGCTTCAGGGTTTGGTTTCTCGTGGAAGGTTTCTTGCAGACTGGCCCCCGCTGCATCCTTTTGCCCGCTCCCAGGCCAGGGCGCCGATGGCTTCATGATGCACGCCGGCGACCTCAAGGGCTTCAAGGACTTCATCGAGTCCGTGGAGGAGCCCTGCTTCAAGGTCGACGACCTCGCGGTGTCGGAGTGGCTGACCAACTACGTCAAGAGGCCCGTGAAGTCCCTCGAGGAGAAGCAACAGCGCGTGGACGCCTGCGGGCTGGTCAAGATGCCCATCTACAAGTCCAACTGCTGGATGGCCCCAGACAAGCGATCGAAGGGCGGCGAGCGCCGCATCTGCCGCCCGAGCATCCAGAGCGTCAACTCGTTGCGGAACGACCACGCGTCCGGCGGCCGCGGAGACGACATGAAGCGGTGCACCGACGCTCTGGCCGCCAGGTGCAAAGGTGCAACGGGGTGTGCGGAGAAGTGACCAGACAGGGAGAGCAATTGGCTAGCCTCGAGGCCCGATGCGCGTTCCAAGTCAAAGCGGCCTCGTGAGACGAGGTTTCCTTCACGCTTTCCACATCCTCCTCGACCTCATCTACCTGCTTCTCGTCCTCCTCATTGTTGTCCTCGCCATTGTCCTCTATAGTTCTTCCTCCTCAACCTTTACCAGCCCGTCATCATCCTTGTTTTTTGTTTCTAATCGGCCCTCTTTATCCTTCATCTTTGCTTCCCCAGACCATACGAACGAGCCGCTACATCTGCACTCGTCTGGTTTCCGTCCTTCCTCCTCGATCCTCTTGTCTCCCACATTGTCCATCCCCATGCGCCGCTCTCCCTCTCCATCCCCCTCTCGAATCTCTCCCCACACCTGATTCCAGTCTCCTCCGCTCCCCCGCCCCTTTACTCCCTTTCCAGTTTTTTTTTTTTTTTTGTTCTTTTTGTTTTTCTCTCTCTCTCTCTCTATGTGTCTCTCTCTTTTTCTCTCTCTCTCTCTCTTTCGCTCTCTCTCTCTCTCTCTCTCTCTCTCTTTCTGTGTCTGTCACTCTCTACCTGTGTCTTTCTCTTTTCAGAAACTTCGGGTGTAGTTGAGTAATCGCTTTCCCTCCGCAGCGCTGCCACATCATCTTAACGACCTCTCCCCGTCACAGCACCAGACGTGTCATTAGGGTGGGCCGGGCGTGTCGCTTGATACTTCCTGCCCGCTGATGGTGCTGAAGATGAAATGATTGAGCTTCGCGTATTCTCACCAGCCCTTCACGAGGGAATCGTAGCTGACACATTCAATCGCGTATTCTGGTTGGCTATCTTCGTCGCAGAGTAGTCGTCAGGTGCCCGATGCTGACGCCACGAAGGCCTCCATGATTCATGATTGACTCCGGAGTGTTTCGTGACAGCTGAAGTTTGCGAAGGTAGCAAGGGTCAACAAAGACCTTCGCTTCTTGAGGCATCTGCGGGCTGCCTTGATCAGGGAAGCAACGGCTCGACCTAAGCAGCGGGTTGGCGATTTCGTGGGCCGTGTTCGTTTCGACGTCGTTTTCCGGCAGAGGCGGAACGAAGGCGCAACGAGGGGCATCGACAGCAGAACGGAACCGGAGTACACGGTTTAGGTCGAGCCATGCAGGAAAGCGCAGCAACACAATGTGACACAAAGAGGGCGGACAGCCGCCCACTTCCCTCGCACTCCACTCTCCTAGTCGCATTCGCTCGGTAAGCGGAGGGGCGTTTCCTGTGGACGCATCGAAGGCCTTGGTAGCGAAGTCGTGAGTTCTCCGTGGCAGGAGAGGTGTGAAGGAACCAGGAGCCAACAACAAGGCATTCGCCTCTTGATGCGTCTTGGGACTCTTTTGGGGGCGGGCTCGCGTTATCGTGGGATTTTTCGGGGGGGTGGGGGGTTTCGGGGGGCGATCTTAGGCCCTCCCCCACCTTTCTACCCTTCTGCATCCTTCCTCCCTCCGCCTTCGTGTACGCATCCCGCGTGCTTCCCACACGATCCACATCATCATCATCATCATCATCATCATCATCATCATCATCATCATCATCATCATCGTCATCATCATCATCATCATCATCATCATCATCGTCATCATCAGCATCATCATCATCAGCAGCAAAGCCGCCGCGCGCTCAAGCCTTCGGTGACACAGCGGTCTTCTCAGAAAAGCCCTCCATTGTTCGCCAAGAGGCAGAGAGCACACTGCGATGGCATCTCGCACGGACGCCATCTCCGGAGGTGCGCCTCGTGCGGCATGGTGACGCGTTGCATGCTGAGGCCGTTTGAGGAGGTCCCCCACACGCGGGAGCAGCACGCTACAAGAACAAGCCGCTGATTATGCGCCACACGTCCAAGGAGCACACCGGGCAGCAGTTCAAGCAGCTCGACGGCGCCGAGAAGAGAAAACTGGTGGCGGTAAAGGCGGAGTATGAGCTGCTTACGAAATTCTTGGCAGTGGTGCGGCGCAACCAAGACGAAAAGGTGTACGACAACCACAAGATCGAAACCAACGGTCTGGTTGCCATCGTTATGGGGAACTACCACCTCGCTTGCGCAGCGTACCCAGCGAAGCCCAAAGTCGATTACCACTTCCAGTGCCATCGCTGCGGCGATGGCAAGGTGCGCGTCTGCTTGCATACTGTGAAAAGGAGTACTTCACTTGTGCCGCCAACGGAGAGCAGTCCAACATCGTGTACACCGTTGAGTACCACGGCTGTGACGACGGCAACGCGCGCATCGTCTTGCACTTTCGTTCCGCGCAGTTCGTGTTCACGCAGAAGGCGCCCGAGAAGTCACAGCAGGAGAACCTGAAGGCGGAGCAAGAGCCGCGCACGAAGCTCATGGACGAGGCGCGGGGGGGCACACTCAAGGATGACGTTGCCAACGCCGCTGGAACGAAGCAGTGCGACGAGAGGCACTGCGATGAGCCCTCCGCCGACATCGTGCGTTACGGAGTGCACAGCGCCACAGGAGGCACTACGACGAGCCCTTCGCCGAGACTGTGCGCTACAGGGTCGAACAGTACCACGGGAGGCGCTACGACAAGCGCTGCGTCGACATCATGCGCTACGGAGTGGAGCTACCCCGCAGGAGGCAGCAAGACGAGCCCTTCGCCGACGTCGTGCGCTACGGAGCGGAGCAGTACCGCAGGAGACGCTACGACGAAGGGGCGCGCCGGAAGGCGCGCGCCGCCCGTCCCAGCAGCATCTATCTTCGCTTCTAGGCCAGACCCCCCCAGCAGCTGCCGACTCGGGGTCGGCAGGACGTGCGCAGCCAGTCTCAGAAGATTCAGAGCTGGAGCATGCCGCAGGGCGTGCGCCGCCAGTCCTAGAAGACTCAGAGCTGGAGCGCGCCACAGGGCGTGCGCCGCCCGTCTCAGCAGCTTCTGTCTTCTTGTCTCGGCTTGCCGACTCGAGGGTGGCAGGGCGTGCGTTGCCAGTCTCAGAAGATTCAGAGCAGGAGCATGCCGCAGGGCGTGCGCCGCCAGTCCTGGAAGACTCAGAGATGGAGCGCGCTGTAGGGCGTGCGCCGCCAGTCTCAGTTTTTTTCTGTCTTCTTGTCAGGGCCAGCAGACTCGGGGTCGGCAGGGCTGGCACAGCCAGACTCTGCAGCTTCATTCCTTGCGACTGGACCAGGCGGCCCAGCAGCTGCCGACTCGGGGTCAGCCCATCTTGAAGGGCCCGAGGGCCCACGCGATCAGCTCTCGAATCCGAGAGCTATCCAGATGCAAGCGTGGTTCCCCCCTGAACGAGTTTGAGATGATTGGCCTCGCGACGGGGCTTGCATGGCCAGCCTGTTCGACGGTCTCTTCTCCAACCTCCGATCCCCCAACGCTCAGCATGCAACGCGGGCGTCGCCAGCTGTCCACGGTTTTCCCTGGACCGCGCGCACATGCGTGCAGCGCCCCGCGAAGCACGGTTCCTAGCGAGCTCTTTAGGGAACAACCGAACTCTCTGCGACGGATCACTTTTTCCTCTGAAGCTTGGTGCTCGACAGTTTGGTCCTGATGTCGAGGAACAAATCATCAGCAGCATCATCAGCAGCAACATCATCATCATACTCATCATCACCATCATCGCTTATTGTATTCCTCTTCCTTGTCCCGCTCGAAGTGGCGCGGCAGTAGGGCCACGTGGACGTGCGCTCGTTGGCGCGCTTTTCTTCCTCCTCCTCGTCATCGTCGCCCTCGTCCTCTTCACCGTCGCCCTCCTTGCGTTCCTTCTTGTCGTCTTCCTCCTCATCGTTGTCCTCTTCCTCCTCTTCCTCCTTGCTGAATTCGCGATGGATGAGTCCGATAGTGAGCGTACGTCCTCGTCCTCTTCACCATCGTCTTCCTTGTGCTTTCCCTCGTCGCCCTCCTCCTCATCTTTGTCCCCCTCCTCCTCCTCGCCGAGTTCGCGAGGCACGGGTCCGATAGCGAGCGTGGCCCCGTGAGCGCGGCCTGCCCGGACCCCCCCCCGACAGGCGCAGCCCACCCCCTGTCTTCCCCATCGCCCCTGCCCCTTCACCTCGGCGCCCGTCCCTCTGCCCGGCCGCCGTCTCCACTCTCGCCTTCCGCCCTTTGCTTCCCTGCCTTCCCAGACGATCGCGCCAACGATTGACATGCGGCCCCCACGGAGCCCACACGCCAGCGCCGTGATCACAGTAGCGGGCGCCGCCCCGCCCAAGCGCCGGTTTCTCTCGGGACGACGTGCGTCGCCCCCTGGAGACGGTCACTCCTCCTGTTCCCCCTCCTCGTCGCGGTTTCTCTCGGGAAAGCGCGCGTCGCCCCCAGGGTACGGTCACTCGTCATCTTCCCCCTGCTCGTCGTCGCCCACCCCGCCCCCCTCCTCGTCGTGCCCCCCCCCATCCCCCCCTAGGGAGAACGCGCGTCGCCCCCAGGGCACGGTCACGCCTCCTCTTCCCCGTCGTCGCCCCACCCTTCCCCTTGTTTTCCGTCGCCCCCCCCCTATGTTTTTCGTCGCCCCCTTCTGTTCGTGGCCCCCCCCCCCTCCTTTTCGTCGCCCCCTCCTTGTCGTCGCCCCCCCCCCTCCTCGTCGTCGCCCCCCGCCGCCCCCCTCCGACAGGAGCCCTGGGCGCGGCGTCGGGCTGCGGGGCGCCCCAGGCGGCGCGACCGGCCCTCCAGGGGTGGAGGACCGCCCGAGGCGAGTTCCGATTGTCGCTCTCTCTGCCCTTGTTTGCTTTGTTTTGGTGTTTGTTTGTGTGTGATGTTGTGTTATCTCTCTCTCTCTCTCTCTCTCTCCCCCCTACACACATATATATATATATATATATACATGTATGTACGCATGCATACATACATGCAAGCAGACATACATGCACTCATGCCCAAGCATACGCACGTACATACATGCATGCATGTATGCATATGTACATGCATTCAGACATGCATCCATCCAGACAGACAGACAGGCAGACATCGATGCATACATACATGTATACATCCATGCATCCATGCATATATGCATACATGCATACATACATGCATGCACAACCATACATACACCTACACACATGTGCGGATACATGCCTACAAACAAACATACAACCAAACTGACAGAAACACCTGCAACCATAGACATCTACAACTCGTCACGCGCCTACATAATATAGACAGTCAAGCATACATGCAGACATGCACACATTCATGCATACGTTCATCCATACATGCATACGCGCATACATGATTATCCAGACATGTATATACATATATATATACGTATGCAAACATACATACGTGCACACATAGCTCGATGTATACATACAAATACATACATGCATGCATGCTTACACATACAAACATGTATATATATATATATATATATATATATATGTATATATATGCACATGCACATATGCATACATGCAACCATACATGCATACATACAAGACTGCATCGTCGCCTCGCGCCATGCACCTTGGTCCTCGAAGCTTGGCATTCAGGCGGCAGTCGCGGCGGTAGAGCAGGACAAGTAGCGATCGGTCCTCATTGCAGTGTCCGGCATCGTCGTCATAATGATGTAATGTGGCATCCTTCCCTCATGATTCCTCTTCCTTTCCTTCATTCTCGCACTAGCCTGCTAATTGTTCCCATTCTCCTCTGCTCTTTTTGCAGAGGCTCCTCTGAGAGTTTCTTTGGGGCTTATGACGTTGCCATTATACCGCGCCCGCCCAAGTCGCCGACTCGCACTTAATTGCCAGCTGGGATGTGCGCAGCG